AGGGGTCTCCAGCTTTAAAGCCCCCACCTCTCTCCAGAAGGTCCACGGAGCCAGGATCAGCTCTGTCCTGAGTGTGGAGGGGGTGTCCTGGCATCTCACCCCCGGCAGAGGCTCTTGAGGGAGGCGATGAGGGCGGGGCCTGGAGGTCAGATGGCGGACTCCCTGCGGTAGGAGACGTTGTCCAGTGGGAGGGTGGCTTGCATGCGCTCCAGATCCAGGTGGCTGCCAAACTCCAGCATTCGGATGATGCCCGCCTCCTCCTTGGAGCCCGCCTCCAAGCCCAGGCCGGCAGCCACAGCCGCAGCGGCCGCCGCCTCCTCCTCCATCTCCTCTTCCTCCTGGCTCATGAGGGCCAGCTCATTCTCATAGCAGAAGGCACTGGGCGGGGGCGGGGGTGCAGGCAGCACGGTGATCTTGCTTTCCTGCAGTTCCCGGGCGGAGCAGCAGGGCGTGCCGGCCACCTCGTAGGTCTTGTGGAAGCGCGAGTAGTCCACCTTGTAGTGGCTCTTCTCCTCGAAGACCACGGGCTCAAAGCGGTGGCCCCACAGGATCTCGCTGGCCAGGTAGGAGCTGCGGGCCTGAGTGGTCATGGCAGTGGCCTCCACCATGCCCTCAAGGATGACCACAATCTCGAAGTCCTCAGACTCCAGCTCCTCCTTGCCCATGCCATAGAGCGGGCTATCCTCATCAATCTCGTGGACAATGATGATGGGCGACACCAGGAAGATGCGGTCCAGGCCGATGTCGTAGCCCACGTTGAGGTCCCGCTGGTCCAGCGGCAGGTACTCGCCCTCCTGGGTCATGTAGGGCTTGATGAGCTGGGCCCGCACGTGGGCCTCCACGATGTGGCTCTTCCGCAGGTTGCCCACGCGCCACATTAGGCAGAGCTTGCCATCACGCACTGAGATGACCGCGTGGTGGCTGAACAGCAGCGTCTGTGCCCGCTTCTTGGGCCTCGCCATCTTGGCCATGATGGTGCCGATCATGAAGGAGTCGATGACACAGCCCACGATGGACTGGACCACCACGGCGATGACCGCCAGGGGGCACTCCTCCGTCACGCACCGGAACCCGTAGCCGATGGTCGTCTGGGTCTCCACCGAGAACAGGAAGGCACCCAAGAAGCCGTTCACGTGCATAATGCACGGCTTGGGGGTCACCGGAGCGGCCCCGCTGCTGCCCGCTGGGGACCCCGCCGTGGCCACTGCTGGGCCGGCCTCCAGGTCACCGTGGAAGAAGGCGATGCACCAAAAGAGGAGGCCAAAAAAGAGCCAGGAAACCAGGAACGCTGCGGAAAAGATCATGAGCATGTAGCGCCAACGCGTGTCCACGCAGGTGGTGAAGATGTCCGCCATGTAGCGCTGTGACTTGTTGCTCAGGTTGGCGAAGTAGACGTTGCATTGGCCGTTCTTCTTGACGAAGCGGTTGCGGCGTTTCCGCCGGGGCACGTGGGCCTGCCCGTTGCGGCTGTGCCCGTGCATGTCCTGAAGCCGGCGTGGTCACCTGGGAAGACGCAGGGCCTGGGGAGCGGGGAGAAGCCAGACGTGTGAGATGCAGGGAGAGCGAGTTGCTGTCGTGGGAGCAGCCTCTCCCGGGGCCCCAGGGAACCCAGGCTCTGGTGGCCAGGCACCCGCCCAAAGATGCTTAGAAGGGGAAGGGCCTGGACTAGCATCCAAGGCCTCCTCTGCCCCAGTGAGCAGAATGGGACAGCGAAGGTGGGTCTGATGAAGGGAGAGGGTGTCGTGGCCTGAGTGGGCGCCCCCATGGCCGGCCCAGCCCCAGGACTGGGGTCTGCAGGGCCAGAAGCCGAGGCCACTAGGACCTAGGTCCTAGTCCCAGCCCCTCATGCTACCCGCTCCATCCCTTCTCGGCCTGCCATTCCACAAGTTTCCTGATGACCACTTTGGCTCCACCTCCCACCATTTGTCCCTGAGCAGAGGGAGCACTGAGTTCTGTGGCCCCCACTCACCTCCCTGGGTTCGGCCTCTGTCTTTTTGGGTCTTTCTGGGGCTGGAAGTTCTGTGCTGTCCAATATGGCAGCCACTGGCCACCTGTGGCTCTTTACATTTACTTAAAATTAAGTAAAAATTTAACTCACTTCCAAAGTTGCACTAGCCACATTTCAAGTTCACGTGCTCATGGCTAATGGCTGCCTTACTGGACAGATATAGGACATTTCCATCACTGCAGAAAGTCCTGGGCAGGGCAGGGATCTGCAGCCCCACCTCAGTTCTTTCCCTGTCCTCAAAGTGGTTGGGAGCAGCTGTGGATGAAGACACCTATGGTGGTCAAGATGCAGGAAGGGGGAGCCCTGAGCTTTGGCTCCTGTGTAGGCATCACTATTCCCATGTCACAGGTGACGGAACAGGGACTCAGAGAGGGGAAGTGACTTCCCAAGGCCACATAGCTGGTAATTAGGGCCAAGTGCAGGTGCATCTAACTCTTCGGCCCCCAGGTACTGTCAACATCAACGAGTTCATGGTATGGGGACCCGGAGTCAGGGAGGCCGACACACCCATTGCCTAGCTGTGTCACCTTCAGACACCTCATTTCACCCCTCTGAGCCCCACTTTCCTCGTCTGCAAAATGGGGATTGAAACCCTACCTCACAGGACCCCAGGAGACAGTAGCTGCTCAGTCAGAGCCAGCCGCCCTCCTGCCTTCCTGCCGGCTTCCCAGGGGCAGAGGAAGCTGGTGAGAGGCAGGATTCGGCTGTCAGCATCCCCAGCTGTTTCAGCGGAGGCGGCCCCTCACCCCACCGGGTGGCGGGTGCACCAGCTGGGCCCAAGGAGGCCAGACCCTCCCTCTAGCCCTCTCTTCACTGGGGCCCCAGGAGGGAGATGGTGCTGCCCGGGGCCCCAGAGGCTGGCAGGGCCCGGCCTGGGCCCGGGCTCTCGGCAACATGTTGGCCCGGAATTATATAAGGCTGGAAGTTTCTATTTTCTGTTCTATTCTTCTTCCTGATCTAATTGTGCATCTGTGGCAATGTTTATACACTTCCCGTTCAGGACAACTCGGTTGCCGCAGCAACCGGTGCGCGCCAACGCTGTAATTTAGAGATCAACAGCTTCGGAGTCTGCCTCTTCCAGGGAGAAACGCCCTCTCTCAGCCCAGAGAGAGTGAGCCCTGCCCCCCTCCTCCCCCGCCGTCACCCTAGCCCGACTCTGGGTTCTTCTCCCTTCCCCCACTTCACAGGAGCTCCCTGGGTCCCACGGTCCTGGATGGAAGTCCAAGATCCACTGGGCAACTTGGTCAAGTTATTTGATTGCTCTGAACCTCAGTTTCCTCATCTGGAAAATGGGATCAATGAGACCCATCACTCATAAGACCTGACACGGATGTGAGCACGTGACACTGGCCCTTCAGGGGTCCTAACTTTACCCAGGCCTCCCAGGTCCTCTCTGCCACCTTCTCGGAGTCTCAACAGCCAGGTTGTCAGGTGTGCCTTCTAGGCTTGGAACAGCTTTTGAGGTCTTCTGACACTAAGCGCCTCCATCTCTGCTCTGTCCGCTTGTCATGAATGCCTCCCTTAACGCCACAGAAGGGACCAGAGCCAGACGGAATGGAAGGTAACTGATTTCAAAACCCTCGTTTTACATCAGAGGCCGAGGAAGTCCAGGGGTGGGACAGACTTGCTAAGAGTCCCAGAGCAAAGCGGGGCGGGCCCTGCTCTCCTCGCTCTCACTCCAGAGCTCCTGGAAGAAGGTCAAGGTGCTTCTGGGAAGAGAGAGGATCGGCCTGGCCCCGGCAGACCTTGGACCTACAGGCTGCAGCTCTCCAGGAGAGAGGCAGAGGGGACAAAGTGCGGTGACCAGGCATTTGATACATGAGAACACTGAGGCCCGCTCAAGGCCAGGGGACCGCTCAAGGCCAGGGGACCCCTGGTTCTCTGTGCAATGAGGGGTTCATCTTATGCTGCAGAAGAGGGTTCTTCACGGGGCTCCTACTCTTTAGGAGGGCTCCTGGGGTGATGGGGTAAGGGAGACCATCCCCCATGGCCAGAGGCTATTGGTTCCCCTCACCAGCACTGCTCCCTCCTCTCCATTTGTGAGAGGAAGTGACAGGAGTTTCAGCCAAGTCCCATGCCCTGAGGCTCCACACATCCCCAGGCCTACGCTCCCCCCACCCCCACACTCACATCCCTAACTTCAGTACTCACCCCTCAGCCCTGCCCTTCCATCGCCCAGTCCCCAGCATCATCCACCACAGCCCAGCCGGATGGGGACACAGCTTACGCCCAACCCCTGTGTCTCCTCTTCCGGTCACGGCAACGCTCCGTGCCCGGTCCTGTGTCCGCCCTCAGCCTGTACTATCCTGGGCGGCACTTAGAAATGTCCACTCCTGGGCCATGGGGAAAGCTGCCCCCAGGCCCAGATGCTCGCCCACAGACCCAGCACCCTCCACCACGGAGGACCCCCTGTGCATCCGTCCCCCTAAAACCTCTCATCTGCAGTGACCTGCTCAAATAATCGAACACTCCCATCGGCACAGACTCTGTGGCAGAAACGAGAGGTCCACCTGCCAGGGCGCGGGCTGGCCGCACCATACGTGACCAAAAAGTGAAAAGTACGAAGCTCGGCCTCGCGCCTTCATGTGACAACCGCAGGGAGAGGGCCAGGTTTACCTTCCCTTGTTGGTCACATGGGGCTTCCTGGCGAAGGCACAAGGGCCTGAGGGAAAAATATGAAAGGGACGGGGCACAGATGGCAGTGGACGGGGGAGAGGCCTTGACGATTCGGCACCAGCCCCCTCTGAATATAGGTTCAGAGAGTCCTAGCTGTTTAGGTTCCTATATCACATCTCAGTAAACCACACTTTTCCGGAAGGTGGAGAGCTGGTCTACCTGTTGGCGGGGGAGGCCAGGCCTCTCTCGCCGCCTTACTCGGTGACCTGGAGCAAGTCCTTCCCATCCAGCCTGGGTGCTTGCTCCGGTTGACGT